CAACAAGACGTTGGAAGTTCATATTCTTTGGGATTGTTAAAATTGCCTTAGTGACCTTTGAATAAACTAAATTTACGTGATAAATTAATCTGATATTAATAGGGCAGTGTTTTACCCCGTGATTAGTTTCGTTCGTGTATTACATTAAAATTTCAGGGTGTATGAACTGTTAGATCATAAGAAAGCGACTTAATAGGTGAGCACATATCGAGTTTAGTGGTGTTTCTTGAGTTCACCGGTCCTTTCCAGGCTCCGTTATCGCCTACTTGTCCAAAGGAGCAGAGCCAATTTCGCGGTGACGTCCCACTGGTTCTCTATTATACGAATTACAAGGTGGTTGATTTCATTCGGCATTTAATTAAATGAAATATACACCCTTTTGATAAGGTGTGTTAAAAAAAGTTGTCACGGGGTCTGACGCGTCTGACAATTGTCTAGTAAGTACTTTTATTATTTTCTTGTGTGGTTCTTGAAAAGAAACTCATCCTATTCTAATCTCAAATCCTTGTAATTTTCAGTGTTATATTAAAAAAAAAGAATAATGGTTCAATTGGCTCAACGGTTTAAAGCAGGGTGAGGCACCCTTCCATTCTTGCGAGATTGTCGCAGCCAAATGCAGGAGCTTTGTTTCGTTTCTTACTTTATTTGGAAGAACAATGTAAGGACAGTACTATTTAATCCTTTTTTATCCAGCTGACAAGAATCAACGGGCAAGAAGTCTGGAACAAGCTGAAAACCTTTAACACTCCCTTTTCTGCGAATTTCTGTTCTAGTGGTTTGGTCTTGGGCCCAAAACTGTTTACTTGGCGTTTATAAAATGTGGCGGATTGACTTATAATTTCACAGATCAACCAATGAAAATGACGAGAAGCAGTACGCCCAAAACAACGAGGATAAGCTTTCGAAATGATAGGAAACGACAAAACTAAAGCTTTATCACCCCTCTCAGGGAGAAATCTTTTTTTTTCTTGAAAAGAAAATTTTATTCTAATTTGACATTCTTGCGCTTTTCAGAGTCGTATTAGAAAAAAGTGTTGTGAGATTGGCTCAAAGTTACGGTTAGAAGCAGGGTGAGACACCATTCCATCTCTTCGGGTTACGCAGCTTCCTTATGTTCCTTACTATATCTGGAAGAACAAAGTAAGGAGAAAAGTGGCGTAGTGACTTATAAGAAGATTCACTGATCAACCAATGAAAATGACGAGAAGCCGTGACGGGTCTGACAGTCTAAAATAACGAAGATAAGCCGTCAAAAGATCGGAAACGACCAAACTACAGCGTTATCACTCGGGGAAAATTATTATTATAATTCTTTATTTTTTCTTGAAAATAAACTTTTATTCCAACTTCACTTTCTTGAGCTTTTCAGTCTTTTAAAAAAAAGGAAACTTACTGTCAAATTGGATCAGGGTGATCAATCACTTCAGGGTTTTAGGCCGGGTGAGACACTCTTCCATTTCTACGAGTTTGATCTGTGTTAGACGCAGGAGGTTTGTTTTGTTCCTTTTTTAATCATAAAATCACACGGTTGATTAAAAACTAACCAAACAAACCAACCACTGAACTAACAGTCTGACAGTCCAAAACAATGAGGACACAACCAAACTTGTTTCATAATCGATCATTGGATCGCGCAAAAGGTTTTGCTCTCATCAACACGTTGTAATCATGAAGATCTTAGGTGGTTATCCTTCTCAACAACTTTTCGAAAATAACTTTAAAGTTGTTACAGATTTAATTTAAGACAAGGTTTAAAGCAGGCAATACTCTCCTTCCATGCACTCAGAAGATATTGACTCAATTACTATTCCTATTACCCAGATCGCTCTATCATGAATTTTAATTTTTGACTGAATATATGTACCTAGGAAGAATCTTAATATTCCACTTTCTCTTATTTCCTCCTACAATATTGCCTTGCTCTCTTACTATCATAAATATATAATGGATTACGTCCAATTTTGTGATATGTTGCTGTAGAAATTTTTTCTTTTGGATGTGGATCAAGGTTATATTACTATAATCACACAAATCTTTTAAAACCTACTTATTGTTTTTTAATGCTGATTTGGGTCCGATTGGTACATTTTATTTCGGTTTACTCAAAGCGGTTTAATAGATCGACTGTTTTAAGGGTTGTTTAACTTTTCTTCACACACCAGTTATTCACTAAACAAGCGCATCTATTCAAATCCTTCCTTCGACATTATTTCCAGCAGATTATCGACAAGTTCTAACCTGCGGAAAGGAAGTAGAACATCTCGTTGGTTTATGCATCATGGTGGGAGATCCTCCTAGGTAGGATATAATTACCATTTCGTTTAGGATGGTTCAAATTCACCGGTATAAAGTTTTAGGAACTGTAAACAAAAGCTTGGAGTTTAAAAAAAATAATATATATATATTTTCGCTAAACTTCAAATATATGTTTGTCTTCATTAATTTTCTTATTTTTAGATGAAGTTTTACATTAACGTTGTCCAAAAAAGCCATTAAACCAGCCGAACTTACATAAAAGACAAAACTCAAAGAGGGGTCAGTATTGCTCGCCGTTCTCACAGTTCCTTTCGTAACACACCAACCTTACACAAACAACGGGTCAACACACTCTCACCCTCTCACCGATACAATCGAATGGAAAATACAATAATAGGGTAGAGACTTTATCAGGAGCGGAAACGTTCAGAATGGAACGAACGAGATTTTACGCGTTTAAACCTCTGTCCTCGATTATCCATCAGGATGATTAGCGTTTTAGAAAGACACGTTGATGAACGGTCAATATGATCACAAAAGATTTTCCCTGATTTTTCGTCCCATCAATTACAACCTTAACACATCTATTGGTGGAAAATGTCCTTTTCTATGTCCAAACCAAAGAAGGTGCACCGTCCTTTAGGAATTAGATGAATTTCTTTGATGTCACTGCTGATTTTTTTAAACTTTACTAATCTTCTCAGTCACATAGCACATGCTCCCATGTATCTGCCAGTTTTTGATGCAATGAGCAGGTTTCTGTCTGTTTTCTCATTTTGCTGAATGTGCATTTTTATTGTCACAGAGGTGATATTTTTCCTTGTGTGACATTCCGATGAGAGTCCTAGTTTTTTTATTTAGATATTTCGTTTTCCTCAAACCGTCTTTACCGAAACAAAGTATTATTTGTCACAAGTGTTAATCGTCCCTGCTTTTTTAATGGTGTACAGATTTTTACTTCACTAATATCTTTTCACATAATATGGATATGGTTGTGAATAGTCCTCAATTTCAGTAGCTTTTTTTTAATGTTAGATCTTATATTTTGCCCTGTGTGTTCTTATGAGTGAGTGATGTTGGTTCTTTTTTCTAGATATTCCAGATCACGGATGGTCTTGGTGATAAAGCAAATTCAGTTGTTACTGCCATGCTTTCGACCTATTTTAAGGTCATCATCAGGGCAAAACAATCTTAAATATCTCCACAGATTGACATAATTAAGTTGTTAAATGGGCCGATCAAGGCCAGGATCATCTTCAATTCCAGAGATGCTAACACTTCTGGTTTGAGATAGCTATACTTTTTATACAGTCTCTCTGATATTTAGCATTGTGTGAGATTCTTTAGAGTGAGTGTTGGTTCATCTTTTGCTAATTTATCAGCTATTTCATTTCCCGCAAACCTTGGTACCACATGGTCCACTAGTCTTTACTCAGATATCGAATTGTAGGACACTTCCAACTAACTTGCAGCATATTTTATAAGATTTGATTAATGTTGTCTGACTGTCAAAAAGCATATCTGTACTCTAATTGATGCTTTTGTATATATCCTGTGCTATATGAATTAAATTACTAGTGGCATATTGAATAGATATGTCCCTGGGGTTCTGCTCAAATGAATTTACGATCCCATAAAAATGCCCATTCTTCTTTATGTAATTTATTCTAGCAATCTTTGCAAATTTCCTTCAACCACAAATTGTGCTGACGAACTGTCATCGTAATCGTTTCTCGAAAAATATGCGTTAACATCGAGCGCTGAATTAAGGCAAATGGTCAAAAATCATCGGTCACAGTCACCGACCGCGAACTACATGCAACTTCACCAATCATGCCCACTCGATTGATGTTCTTTTAAAGAGCCTCTAAAATGCCGCATGTCAAGAGTTTGACCTACTTCCATCACATCAGCTAAATCGTTAAACGTCTCCGAAGAAGAATAAAGCCTTCGGTTTTTGAAGGCGCAAATCTGACAAGCTTATTTATGTTTTGGGCAAATCTGAGGTTCATCCCAATTTAACTTCTTGACGCTCCATACGTGAAAAAATACCCAAGCATTCATAACAGCGTTGTCCTATTTTTGATCTGTTTCAAGAATAAATTTAAAAATTAAAGACCTAATTCAAATTCTATATAAATAAAATAAATAGGTAATATTATTCTGAAATTTTCAAAATTGCGATATACCTATATTTAATTGTGAAATATTCCAAAAGGCATCCGTTAGTAGGTTCGACAGACAAAGCCAGCGAGATAGAAAATACACGTTGTGTACCTCAACATATTGAACGATCCATTAGATTTCGTGGTCCGATTGACCAAATAACTTTTTCCATTAATTAATCTTTATGAAAGGTATTGGTTGAGATAAAAAAAAAGCCAGCGTCGAACCCATGAACTTCGTCGCCACGATTGCTCAAGTGGTAGAGCAGCGTCGTATTTAGCCGACGATCGTGAATCCTTCCATAAATATTGAACGATGTTGTTCTCTTTGGCCTGCTTATTCTCGCTGTTCGAGTTTTAGTACGGTCAAAGCAATCAATGCTCTTCTGAAGTGAAATAAAAGTGCAGTATTGGGTAAAGAGTGGCTAAGTGACGACATCAATGTGTCATCAGGGTGTCATTTTGTTCTAAAAATCATACGTGAATATATTTGTCAATATTGTTATTAATTATTTAAAAGCATACTTTTGGAATTCAAATTTAAAGTATTTAAAGCAACGCTTAAAAGAAAAATCAGAAAAACCAAGAAAATCAGAATATACTGTAGAAAAGAGAAGATGTTTTTTCTGAAAGTTGGATAAGAAAAAAGGTGAATACCACAGCTCCGGAAATCTTTGAGGCAGTATCAGTCGAAATTGGAAGAAAATCCAAATAATTTTCAAAAAGGAGAATGTATACAGGCAAAACTTCTTGTTGGCACAAGTAAGAATGCGAGATAAAACCGTAGACATAACCCAAGCACACGACCGGACTTCCGAGGTCGCCGAGGCACAGTCCGCTTTTCGGCGAAGTCATCACAGCACACGTGTATCCGCTGATGATAAAATCTTTGGGACAAGAGATGGAAATAAGGGACTTCATCAGAGTCGTTGGCAAATCCTTATTCACTGATATATACCCGAATCCCATAACCGTGCACTCAGTGCCGTTTTTCACTAATTGTTTCCAGTCGTTTTTAAGTTCAGTTGGCTCACGGGCTACGTTCACCCAATCGTCTAGTAGTAAATCGTATGTTAAGTCCAAGATGGCGATGTTATTTAACATTCCATGTAACGGATTGAATTTTTCGTGAATGATCAGATTGTCCACTTGGCTTTCTTGGTAGCCCTGGTCTGATTGATCAAGTGTCACAGTCCCGGCCAGTACCATCAGACGATTTATTTCTACGGGAATAAATGTCTTCTCCTTATCCATCTGTATGACGCAATGTGCTCCTGTGACGACCACACTGGGGGTAATGATCGTCCCTCCGCATACAACAGCTGAGTCGAGCTCTATGCATACGAAGAAAGGATATTCTTTTTCTGCAACAGCAACACCATTAAGAATAGATTTAGTGATTCGGATTCGTATGAAAAATAAAATTAAATATACGTGAATTTTCATTATAACATTTTTTAATTTTTCTTCTAACTATAATTTTATCATATGACGACATTACATTTCTGAATATTTTTTTCTTTGAATCCAAATTTTAACAAGGCTCCCCTTAATTATTATACCATACATATATATATTCATTAATAAATAATTATTTCCTTATTGTACAAAAATCATTAATTTTTTTGTGCATGGCTATCACAAAAAGTAAATATGCACGTTTGAAATCCCATGTAAGTTATCAACAAGATGAATTTTCGCATTATAAAAGATCTAAAATTAATTAAACAAATCAGTGTACAAGTATCACATCTGTTTTTTTAAACTACTCTACCTAAAAGATATAAAAAGAATTTTGTTTAACAAAAGATCTACTTCAAACATTGCAGTCTTACTACTTATTATTTAGGATAATGCATAAAGTTGAGCGTGCAATAACGATATTTAGTAAGACTCCAACACTTAACATTTGCAGGGTGATGTGTTATTGCCGATCATCCTGGTCTGTTTATCCTTACTGTTTTGTTGAGATATTTTCGTGAGGTCGGCGGGGTGACGAACCTTCAGTTTGGTGATTTCCCAGCATTCCGATCTGCTGTAGACGTAGATGTATTAATCGGAGTGTATTGTATACTATGCCCTTTGAGAGGTGGCCATCCACACCGGCGTGCGTGATGTGTGCGACAGGAGGATGGGGAACGGTGACGTGGAACACATAACCTATCCCGTTCCCGCGGACTTTTGCCTACTCCTGGCGCCACTGTTAAGGTCTCCTAGGAGGCTGAACAAAAACAGTTCTCCGCAAACCTCTCGTATCGATGGATGGTGGTGTAGCAAATGCAAGGCTGTCGGGGGCGGTTGTTCCTTGGAGGATCTCTTATGAGATGCCGCTGAAGGGGTTCGATTGTTCTTCGGCGGTTGTTTGTGAAACTGGCTTATTGTGACGGGTGTTCACCCTTTGGAGGATCTTACTAGAGATGCCGCAGAAGAAAGGTATGCTCTTGCGGTGACAAATCGACGGAGAGTTGCCTTTTGGAGGATTTCAGTGGGATACCGCAGAAGAGGAGTAGTCACTGATGTCTTTGAAGAGAGCAATAAAAGGCTGGACAGGGAGTTGCTTCTTGGAGGATCTCATTAGGAATGCCGCAGAAGAAGGGTATTCTCTTGTAGTGGACTTCAGGCGGGGCGGCGAAAGGCGTAACTCACGTTATCTGGGTTCGACTGTTCAGCTGTCTCCCGTTCTGTTAGATGGTGGCGAACGGCGGCGGGAGGTATCTAGGCAATTCTTACCGGGGCCCAAGACAGGTGTCCCCGTTGTCTGAATTCGACTGTTTGACTGCTTCCGTTCTGTCGCCGGGGAACGCGGAATTTATTTTCCGCGGACTCGGATTCAACCCCCCGAGGCGACTGGCTGGGATACGGTCGACTAGTTCGGCTTTTGAACGGCCATATCGCCTCACCCTCCCTGGGCGTCATGGCCCACTCTATGTGGAACCACGGCGACAACGGGTGGTATAATGTGGTTGAGACTCGAGACCCCGAAACGGCTCACCTCGTGTTCTCTTCCACGGCCCTGTTTCTCAATCCGAATTCCTTCATTCTATCCTGTGACCCCTCCTAACCCTTGGTTACAAGGGGAGTATCCGGGCACAAAATAATGGTGTAGCCTAGAGGGCGTGGCAACCTCTCTAAAGCACAAGCTGTCTTATGTCGGCCCTCAGGGTCGGCAGGGGCGTCGGGTGCCTTAGCAGAGTCACACGAGGGCCAGTGCACCAGATCCTGTCTGCATAGANGCGGACGTTAAAGATCCTAATGGTCCTTTTAAGGACGACCGAGTAATATGCGGGAACCAAATGTGCCCTTTGATATTGGGGATGCCTGGTTGTGGTTAGATGGCTAGGATACCATTAAAATGTGGTAACATCGAACGAGTAGGATGGATGTGTGAGAGGGCAAGCGCATCTCGAAAAGTTTCCCCTTTTTCTCAATCCAAATCCTGGGACTGTGCAGCGGGTGCTCTTAGGAGACTCCGGCAGACCCTTCCCAACCCTTGTTTCTAGGGGGTTTCCAGGCACAAAGTAATGTTGCAGCCTTGACAACGTGACGCACTCTCTTAAGCACAAGCTGCAAGAGTTTCCTGGCGCGCATGATCGCCTTAAGCATCCTCCGCATGCATTTGGACGATAAGACCAAGGAAGCGCACAGCGTGCGAGGACGCCAAGACTATGCCTACCTACTCCCTCGAGATGCGTTAACGGAGTTGTTGGCTTGCGAGCTGACCTCGGATGGTACCAAATCCTGTCTAAAAATATTTTTATATACGGACGGGGGACGGTGCATCTGAATTGCGGGGCAGCGTATTTTCATTCCAAGTTCAAGCCCAGCTGCATGGGTAAGGACTCGAAGTGGCCGAGACCCCTGGCAGGTACCTAGTGAAGAGGATGTGTTTCATTCGTGGCCGTGAACCGTACTTGCGTATGACCTGTGAATTACCTCCCTACCTCGCGGGAATCGAAAGGATCGCATAGCCGAGAGCGTATAGACATCGAGGAGCTATGACTACGCTGACGGAGTCCCTCGAATGTGTGAGGAATGGCGAACGGGGGCGGATGTTTTTCGGTGGTGGTAGTCTAGGCTGCCTTTACCGAAGGCATGGTCTCCTCTAGGGGGTGGTTAGAGATTCCACTAAAATCAAAACCACGGCCGAAGCGCATTCGGAGGTTTCGACGCTAGCGGAGCCCCTACACCCAGGGAGATAGAGTTGTCGCCTCTGTCTGGGGAGTGCGTGGGAGACTTGGCCGATGCATTTCGACAACCTTTTCGGTATCCCTTTACGCGTGGCACTGGTTAAGTGCACAATGTTAACCCACTCCCTCGGAAGGGCAAGCGGTTGAAGTCAGCATGTCTGTCGATAGTCTGTGGATTTGCGGGCTTCTACACCTAACCCTCGGAAGAAGCAGATTTTCCGCGAGGTGAGTCGCTCCTAACTTGAGAATCTAAACGTGTGATAAGACCTGACGCCTAGGTACGCACGCTAAAAAACCTCAATGTTAAATGACACTGCGACCCCAGTGGGAAACATATGTGCCCTTTGAGAACCATTGTATCCTCCGTTGTATGCTTATAGCACACCGGTGTGACCTAGTTCATTAAGGACATGATCATTAGGCCCGGTGTCAGTGGTTGAATTTCTTCTACGGTTACGTTGTACGTCTCCAAAGCACTTCCTCCAGTGGTCCAGTGGCAAGGTTTGTTATTAGGTGTGTATGCTTCTTTGCAGAATCTGCACGTGGTTTATACCAGTCTTCTTCAAATGCTCTCAAATTTAATCTAGAATGTCCTGTTAAGGATCCTGTTAGTATTCTAAGTCCGTTGATGCATTCTGTTACTTCTTTCCAAAGCTTGCGAGAAAATTATTGGATTGTTTGTTTTCAATTAGTGAATTCCACTGTTTCCTCATTTTCATTATGCCCTTCTCTCTAAGCACATAAAGAAAATGGATAATGTGAATCCTAAGCCACAGAAGGGCTCAGGACATACCAGTGATGGTGGTAAAATTTTTACCTGATAGGAATCGTAAATCGGTCGAATCTTAAAAACCTCGAGATCCATTTTTTAAATGAACTATAGAATCCTGGTCGCGTAACGGCGTGCCGGTCCTTTTAAAATATACCGTCGACCGCAAAACTGCAAATCGTTGCTAATTTATCATGAGCTAACATTAAAAAAAGATTCAATTTTTCTTGAATTTATGCTGTTTGATCGTACCTGGCCAGCTTAGTCTTGCTTAACTTTGACGTTAATGTTTAACCATGACCTTGCTAATCCACCAAGCCTCAAAGCATTTTTGTAATTTTATTTAGGATAAATACTCAGGTAAATAAACATTAAAACGATATTTTCGAAGTGTAATTGTTCTAAAATTAAAGGTAAACTGGAGTTTATTTAGAGTTGTAAGAAAAAAACCGTGAATCCATAGAACATCATATTTTTAGATATTCCATAGATCCATTTATGTTTAGTGGTCTAATTTCCCATATTAATTATTTTTTTCTTCTAAGGTATTTGGTTGAGATGAAAAATTAGTGTCACAGGCGGGATTCGAACCGACGACCTTCGGCTCGATACGCCACAGCTCTAACCACTTGGGCTCGAAGTCACGATAGTGCAAGTGGTTAGAGCAACAGCGTATCGAGTCGAAGGTCGTGAGTTCAAATGTTGCTCGTGACACTAACTTTTTCATCGCAACCAAAGAATAGTTAATTATTTTTAAGAATAGTTAACTTATTTTTACATTTGCCTTGGATAGCACGACGTACTAAGGTCATATTCAAAATAAATATGCAAAATTGAGATTTCGTCGAACGTTTTACCGTCGAAACGTGATGGATTTGAAGAATTATCGTTCTTTCCAAAGCACAATGAAAATTGATGTTTTTACACTTTGAGGTTCCAAGGAGATCACACTTGACTAACGTTGTGACAATATTGTGTCTTGGTCAGCACTGATGCCAAATTCACCTACAAAGTCAATATTACTGGATTGATACATGGCTTAATGTTATTTATCAAACTGTTACATAGTGAATTATCATGATACAACCAAGATTTTTTTATATTTTGTATGCTAACTATATTTTAATGAAATGTTTCTGTCTTGATTGATTCACGTGAGTGATGAGCTAAAGAAGGGATAAATAGGAAAAGAGCAAAAATAGCCCTCAAAAAGTAAGAAATATCTGTACGTCATATTATGTAAGGATAACAGGATAGCCAGGACTATAAAAGAGAGGCATTTACGCGTAAATGTTGCCCACTGGTCCATGGGAACCAGCGCTAGTAGGTCAACCCGAGGATTGAGGAAACACCTCTTAGAAGATTAATAGTTATCATACCACCTCGGGGCCGAATGGTATGGCTTACTTTTAAAACGTCAATTTATCTAGATAGTTAACGATTTGTCGGCTCGGTTTGACGAAAAGTGGAAAAGGAAAAATCCAAGGATCCTTGGAGAATGGTGATAAAAAGAAATGGGCTGCCACACGGC